ACTCTTAATATTCTTCCTTTATTCTGTATTTTTGGGGTTTTGATTATTATGTGGCAATGGGACTTTTTTGTGGTCCATTCTATTTGGTGTTCTGTAAGCTACTTGTACTTTCACTGGCATGTCTTTCTTTAGGTTGTGAAAGTTTTCTTGTATTTTTTTTTTGTTTGGTTGTTTGTTTTGTTTTTCAAGACAGGGTTTCTCTGTGGCTTTGGAGGCTGTCCTGAACTAGCTCTTGTAGACCAGGCTTGTCTTGAACTCACAGAAATCCACCTGCCTCTGCCTCCCGAGTGCTGGTATTAAAGGCGTATGCCACCAATGCCCGGCTTCTACTATGATTTTGTTGTATGTGTTTTCTGCCTTTGAGATGGGTTTCTTCTCCCTCTTCTATACCTATTATTCTTAGGTTTGTTCTTTTCATGGTGTCCCATATTTCCTGGATATTTTGTGTTAGGGATTTGTTGGACTTAAGATTTTCTTTGGTAGATGAATCTATTTCTCCTAATGTATCTTCAATTTCTGAGATTCTCTCTTCCATCTCTTATATTCTGTTGGTTATGCTTGCATCTGTAGTTCCTGAAGTTTACCAAGATTTTTCATTTCCAGGATTCCCTAAGTTTATGTTTTCTTTATTGTCTCTATTTCAGTTTTCATGTCTTGAACTGTTTGAATTGCTTCCTTCATCTGTTTTTTTTTTTTTTTCTTGGCTTTCCTTAAGCAATTTGTTGATTTCTTGTAATTTTTGGTTTGTTTTTTCTTCCATTTCTTTAAGGGTTTTTCTCATATCCTCTTTGAGGGCCTCTATCATTTTCATGAAGTTGTTTTTAAGGTCATTCTCTTCTGCTTTATCTGTGTTGGGATGTTCAGGTCTTGCTGGTTTAGAGTCCCTAGACTCTGGTGGTGTCATATTTGTTTTTCTGTTGTTGAATGTGTTTTTATATTGTCTTTTTCCCATCCCTTCTTCCAATGGGTGCAGAAGGAGTCTCTTCCTCTCCTGGTGGGTATGGGACCAACTTTCCCTTCCACTGTGTGCAAACAAGTCCAATACTCTAGATGACTCTCCTCTTCTTCATCCCATGGGCAGAGAAAGGGACTATGTTCCTGGCTGGCAGTCTCTGGGTAGTATGTACTCCACCTGGATGGGATCCACAGTCCTGAGCCTAAGGTGGCTGTGAGCAGGGTACTGGAGGGCAGGCCAGAAACAGGGCTAAGCTTACTAGTCCCATGGGCAGAGAAAGCGACTATAGCAATGGCTGGCAGTCTCTGGCTGGGCTAGACCCCACAGGGATGGGATCCACAGCACACAGTCTCCAGGCTGCAGGGAGCTCCAAGCAGGGCCTGGAAGGCAGATTTTTTCAACACTTTTACCACCAGTTGGTTCAGCACGGCCTTACAATTTTACCTAGGAAGAGTGGGACAGCATGACCAACAAGGTCCTACGCTGTTGATTTAGAGATTCTCATCAACCAGTTTGTGTACAGTGATTGTGTGCCTCTCTTTCATGGCAGTTAGTACAGTTAGTTCTTTTAATGAGTCATAAGGCTCTGTCTACAGTGATTGAAAGCTTTGCTGGGTATAGTAGTCTGTGTTGGCATCCTTAGTCTCTTAGTGTCTGCAGAACACTATCCAGGACCTTCTGTCAATATTTAGAAGGCAGCAATGGCCAAAAACACTTAAGCCATTTGCCTCAGCCATCAGGGAAATGCCAATCAAAACAACTGTGAGATACCATCTCACCCCTGTCCTCAAGATGAAAACCACTGATGACAGCTTATGCTGGAGAGGATGTGGAGAAAGGGGAACAGTCCTCCATTGTTGGTGGGACTGCAAACTTGTACAACCTCTGTGAAAATCAGTAGAGCCAATTCCCAGAAAATTGGGACTCAATCTACCTCAAGACCCAGCAATACCACTCTTGTGCATAACCCAAAGGAGGCACACTCATACCGCAAGGACATTTGAAAAACTGTGTTCATAGCAGCATTATTCCTAATAGCCAGAACCAGGAAATAATGCAGATGCCCCCCAGTTGAAGAATGGATAAGGAAAATGTGTTACATTTCACAATGGAGTACTGTTCAGTGGTAAGGAAAAACAACAACAACAAAAACAATGGCATCTTGAAATTTGTCAGCAAATGGATGAAACTAGAAAAAAACCCATACTGAGAGAGGTAAGCCAGACCCAGAAAGAAAGATTGTATATACTCACTCATAAGTGGATATTCGACATAAAGCAAAGGATAACCAGCCTACAGTCCACAACCCCAGAGAAACTAGGTAACATGGAGAACCCTAAAAGAGACATATGTGGATCCCCCCTGGGAAGGGGAAATAGACAAGATCTCCTCTATCATGTTAAGAGAGCCACCTTATATGGGACAGAAGAAAAACCAAATTTAGGGATTATTTCATTTCCACTAATCTCACTATCCTTTGGTTTGATTTTAAATCAGTAACACTTTTCTTAAGGTGTAAATATTATCTCAAAATGTATAATATATGTACATATCTATTAAACTTTTGTCATGATATTAATGACCATATAGAGAACTAATTCTAGAAAAAAGCTTCATCTAGCTTCCTGTACATCACTTCAGGTTTGATTCTGTATCAGGTAACTAAGAATTAAGTTTTTATAATCTGGATGTACATACAAAATATGGCCCTTTAACCTCTGTGAGATCTGCTGCATATGACAGTTAAAATGTTTATGTTACAGTGAAGGATAACCTTTTCTAACAACGACCACTGAGGTCTCCAAATATATGATGGGGCCCCACAACGAATGTGGGTGCCTCTGTATTGGGGGCATTAGATATTCAGAATTGATTTTTCATCTTGATGGATATTAGGATAGCTACACTAGCTTGTTTCTTAGGTTCATTTATTTGGAAAATCTTTTCCAACCCTTTCCTCTGAGGTAATGTCAGTCTTTGAAGTTGAGGTACTTTTCTTATATGCAGCAGAAGGATGGATCCTGTTGTCCCATCCATTCTGTTAACAATGTTCTATTTACAAGTAAATTAAAACTATTAAAATTGAGGGATATTAATGACCAGGGATTGATATTTTTCTGACAAGGAGTGTCAGGGAAAGTGATAAAATGTAAGGCACAGAACAATAGCAGAGAGAGACGAGATGGTGTGGACTATGCAATCACTCATTCAGCATCCACAGAAATGATGTAAGATGTGAATTTAAATGAAAAATCTGTCCATTAATTCTTCAGTCAACATCTTTACTCTTGGAAGGAGACCCTGGGAGGAGTTCCTGTCAGGGTTTTTGTTTTGTTTTGTTTGTTTGTTTGTTTTTTCACCAGAATTTGTACCAAACAAAAATACCCACACCTACCCTATTGGAAGTTCAGAAGGACAAGGTTGGGTTTTGTGTCAGGAAATACATTGGTCATTCCAGTACTCTCTAAGCCTAGTTTAATTGGGTTTAAAAGCCAAATTCACAATTACATCATACCACATACAAGTCCAGGACATAAAATCTTTTAGATTAAAAGAGTTAGTTCCATTGATTCAGACTATTTATTTTATGATATAAAACACAGGCTCTTCCAAAGTTGCCAGTGAATATGTGTGAGAACATTTTCTCAGCAGGATTGTTGAGCTGGGGGAGCAGTTGGATAAAACTCAAGCAAAATAGAGTTATTGTGGGCAGTTCAGTAACAGACTCTGTAGTATTTCCTACCCATCTGAAAAACTTAACACATTTCCAAATAAGTAGCTGTGAAACCATTGGAAGAAAATGAAATCACACATGAGTTTCTTCTTTAAAGTTTTTCTTTACCAGATATTCAGCAATGAGGATTTAAATGCATGGCCTGTGTGTGTGTGTGTGTGTGTGTGTGTGTGTGTGTGTGTGTGTCCTCAAAGATTAAAACTGTAATAGTGGGTATGTACTTAATAGCTCACCAAGTTCTCAATTTTATGGGTTCAAAATCTTTTTCTTTAGTTTGGAATTTGGTATTATTTTGGAGGTGTGTATAACCTATAATCATTTGTTATACATTCCCTATGTATTCTGGTGGATGGATAAAACACACTGATAAAGTACATAGGAAGAAAAGATTAGAATTTCTATTAGCTGTGCTCTGTTTTCAAGCCTTGTTCATTGTCCCTCTACTTAGTGTTCAATAGCTATTTAGTCTTAGAAATACATAGTTTTATTGCCTGGGCATGTTGGACTACTTCATTGATCAAAGTACTTAGGAGGCAGAAGTAGGTGCATCTCTAATTTTTGGGACTACCCTGTTTAGATAGTGACTTCCAGGATAGCAAGTTCTACATGGAGAAACCTTGTCTTAAAAAAGCAAAAACAAGCAGCAAAGGAAATAAATCATTTTTCATTGATCCAGTGACAAATATGTTGTCTCAGAAAAATTTGTGCAATGCACAGGTGAACCCCAAGGCGTTTTTTTTTTTAATTATTGTTATGAATCAGTGTTTCCAGGTATATATTTTCTTGTTAGCCAAATAAAACATAAAATATTGTCTTGAATTTTTCAGCTATGAATTTCATTTTAGATCATCTATTTCTTGTGCAGCATATCTTTGTACTCTTCAAAGTAAAACTCTATGTGGAGGACAAAAATATGGTATTTAGATGGAGGCTGAAATTCAGACAGTCACAATTAACTTTCTCCTGTCCCTGATTTTTGACTTTATAATTTCATTCATGTCCGGCTCCATAAAATCTCTATTTAATGCACTTATTTCTGTCAGAAAAATGCATTTACATCCTACTTAGCTATTAAACTTCAAATAATGTGCCATTATGTGTATGTTCTATGGTTGTGCCCTTATTCTAGGAAGTATATATCATTTTTAGCTACAATATTTTATCAATTATGCTTAGTGCCTTTAGGGTTGTAAATGTACTGTAGTTTCTCGCTGATGCTTCAATACATATGAGTAAATGTTTCCTTTATAAAAGATTAAGTATGGAGAGTATTTGTGAGCTTTTGTTCATATCTCAACTTTTGCTCAACAGGAACAACACCCAATGATTATAATGTTTACAACAAGACCATTGAATGTAACTCAGTGAGTATTCAACACCAGAGAATTTATACAAAGGAGAAACCATGCAAGTGCAAAGAATGTGGTAAGGCCCTTAGTTCTAATAGGACACTTTCTATACACCAGAGACTTCATAGGAGGAAGAAAAGTTACAAGTGTGAGGAGTGTGGAAAGGTCCTTAGATCTTCTAAAACACTTTCTATACACCAGAGACTTCACACTGGAGAAAAACCCTACAAATGTAAAGAATGTCATAAGGCCTTCAGTACACGCTCATCACTTTTTATACACCAGAAAAATCATACTGATGAAAAACCCTATAAGTGTGAAGAGTGTGGCAGATCATTTTACTATCCTTCAATGCTGAAGCAACATCAAAGAATTCATTCTGGAGAGAAACCCTACAAGTGTGAAGAATGTGGCAGAGCTTTTTATGATCCTTCATTCCTTAAAAATCACCAAAAGATTCATTGTGGAGAGAAACCGTATAAGTGTGAAGAATGTCACAGAGCTTTTCGTTATCACTCAAACCTTAAGAACCACAAGGCAGTGCACACTGGAGAGAAACTTTACCATCGTAAACTGAGTAGAAAAGGATTTACTAAGCCTGCTCTCCTCAGTGAGAACAAGCCAGCTCGTATTGCAGAGAAAGCCTACAAGTGTGAAGAGTGTGGCAAGTGTTTTGCATCTTCTGCATCCCTCTCACGACATCAAAGAATACACTCTGAAGACAAGTCCCACAAGTGTGCAGAGTGTGGCAAAACGTTTTCCCTCTTTTCAGTCCTTCAAGAGCATCAGAGAGTCCATACTGGAGAGAAACCATACAAGTGTGATGAGTGTGGCAAATGTTTTTTCTCATCTTCATCCCTTAAACGACATCAAAGAATTCACTGTGATGACAATCCTTATAAGTGTGAAGAGTGTGGCAGGTGTTTTCACTCATGGTCAGCCCTTAGAGGACATCATATAGTTCATTCTGGAGAGAAACCATACAAGTGTGAAGAATGTCACAAAGCTTTTCGTTATCATGCAAGCCTTAAGGACCACAAGGCTACTCATACTAGAGAGAAAATCTACAAGTGTGAACTGAGTAGAAAAGGATTTACTAAGCCTGCTCTCCTCATTGAGAAGAAGACAGCTCATACTACAGAGCAAACCCATGAGGGTGAAGAGTGTGGCAAATGTTTTTTCTCATCTTCATCCCTTAGAAAACATCAAAGGAATCACTGTGAGGACACTCCTTACAAGTGTGCAGAGTGTGGCAGGTGTTATCACTCATGGTCAGACCTTAGAGGACATCAAACAGTTCACACTGGAGAGAAACCATACAAGTGTGAAGAATGTCACAAAGCTTATCGGCATGTATCATCCTTTAGGAAACACAGGAGAGTTCACACCGGAGAGAAATCCTGCAGTAATGACTTCTCTTTGCAGTAACCCCCAACCCTTTGTTCAAGTAGTGTGTTTGAACCATGTCTTGATTAGTGAGTCTCTTTCTTCTGTAACTATAAATGTTCTATGAAACCGTTGCTGTGTTATAACTATGTCTATTGTTTGTCTAGAATCTGGAATCTGATCTGTGGCATAGTTCGTGACATAGTTCCTGTTGATTTTCCCAGAGGAGTCAATTGAGTTCCTGGAATATCTCCCCTGTTGTAGGAAGCTCTGTCTCTCTGAGGTAGCAGGTTTTCACTCAGCATCTGGCTTCTGAATTCTTATTGGTAAAATAAAAAGACAGACCTTAGTTAACCAACCTGAAGTTCCTCAGTCTAAGGCCTCAGGAGCAAGGCCGCAGCAGCAGCTGCAGAGGCCCAGTCATCAGGTGAGGCAGGGAGTATAAGGTGCAGCTTCTGTGCCTCATATAAACAACAGTGTCTGTAACACAACAATGGAAGGAAAGTTATGAGAGTAATCAGTCATTTTCTGACTGGATTTAAAACTTATTACACAAAGGGTAACTGATGTGATATTAATTTGGTGAGATACTTCTGCCTGGCTAGGTGGTAAGCCCTAGGAAGAATGTTAATTAAAATTAATTCTAAATAGTGCATACACTAAATGAACCCAAGTTCTCATCTTTATAACCACATAGTTAGGCACCTCTCAGCACCCACCAGAAAATAATGTGTTGTAGATGGAGAATAAATACAGATGCAAATTAGTCAAAATATAGAGAATATTAGCCTGTGGAGAGCCCCAATCTAAAAGTGACACATTGTAATAGAAGTTCCTTACACACACCTAAAGGCCAAAGTCATGGATTCCTGAGGAAAAAGAGCGAGAAAGACTGTCAGAGCCAGATATAGTAGATGTCTGCAGTGTGACATTAGAAATGCTGAAACATTTCTAGAACACTGAAACATTGCTAGACATGTCAGTACCATTTCATGCTTACATATGCTGTGGCTGTTACTACCTAGACAACACTTACACAGGCTAAAACCCACCATACAATAAGCATGTTTGCATAATTGCCCACTAGGTCTCATGCTGAGTGGAGAACCTATTGGCCATTGATGGCTCCTGAGGGTGACAGTCATCTGAGTGTCTTCAAGGGTCCAGTGAACTGTCTTTAACCCCTACTGGTGATGGAAGCTCTAAGTGGAATAAATAAATAACCCCCCCAAAAATAAATAAAGCCCAACAAGTTGGAGTAAAGTACTTTTAAGGTTATAAGTAATATAGAAAGAATGTGGGGATTTGAATAAAATAATCAATACATATGTATTGAATTCTCCCAATAATATCATTTGGTTTTAGACATATCACAACTTAATCTGTTTCAGCAGTGATTACAGCACATGACTGTGTCTGTCAAAAAGTTTACAGAGCAACAGCATCCTACTGGGAAGGCCTCATCAGGGAGCAAGTGAGAAGACTTCCAGAATGGCTCAGATACTGGGGAGTAAGGAGCTCCACAGCAGTGTAACCTCAGGGAAGAGGCTGGGATGGCTTTGCCGATATGATATGTGACCAGACTCACTTTGTATCTTCCACTCTGCTTTGTCATGAGTGTATCAGAGGAATGATGAGCAGTGGCCTCCCCACCCCCTCTTCCCTCCCTCCTACATCAATGGTGATCACACCTGTTTTTGCTCCATTATTAGAGTTAAGAAGGAAGTGTAGGAGTCAATTGATTTTTCTGTGTAGAAAGTTAGAAGACCATATATCACATACCTTCCATCACTGAGTTTTCTTAAAAATAGTTTATTAACATGTAAATGCCATATTCACATTAGAGAAAACAGAGACATGAATAAACCTCAAGATTACATGGCAAAGAGAGTATGCTTCCAGCTTTAATTTCAATCATAGATAATAACAATGAGGGGCTTCGGTGAAGGAAGTTTCTGGTTTTTTTTTTAAGACTTTGTTTGTTTATTTATTATGTATACAACATTCTGCTTCCATGTATATCTGCACACCAGAAGAGGGCACCAGCTCTCATAAGGAATGGTTGTGAGCCACTATGTGGTTGCTGGGGATTAAACTCAGGACCTCTGGAAGAGCAGTCTTTGCTCTTAACCTCTGAGCCATCTCTCCAGCCCGAAGTTTCTGGTTTTTAAAACTGTCTTAAGATGTGGACAGCAAAGCACCTTGAACAAAGATCAGTTTGCTGTGTGTATGTGAGTCTATGTTTTTGTCCTGTTTGAGTCTTTGCAGACCTTGTTAGTAATTTCCTCAGAACACAAGAAGGAGATTTCCTTGTGAATGGAAGTAACATTAATGGATACACATTTGTGTTATATTGTGTTTTTGCTCTTTGGCAGGCCTACCACCCAGCACTCAATCAATCAATGCCCTGCCTTAGTTTGACTTGCTTCTTGCCAGCTTTTTTTTTCTTTCTTTCTTTCTTTCTTTCTTTCTTTCTTTTTTTTTTT